TTAATGCTTCAGGGTCAGAGGAAGAGTCTCACAGTCAGAATCCTCCCATGAAGCTTTAGAGGACAATGAGAGCTTACTTTAGGAGAGGGGTAAGGGTTAGGAAGATACACTATATTATGACAAGGACATGTGATGTTTAGCAAACTGTGGATAATCTGTGGTGCTGGCCCAGCACCGGGTGGGAGGGACCTTTGGTGTTATTGTTAGAGGTTATATTTTGATTCCCAGTCGTGATTCTCAGCTTGCAGCGTGCAGATTACTAGGGGTCTATGGATCAGTGCTTGGAATATGTAAGAGTTTGCTATGGAACATCTTAACTTTGTGGATATATATATATGTACACACATACATATATACATATATATAAGCATATTCTATATCATTCAAATTAGTGCACCTCAAAGTGTGGCGTTCAGAATGGTGCTCATCTACAAACTCTGTTTCCAGTTCACAAGGAGATAACCATAGACGCTGAGAGTAAGCAGTTAGAAACTTAACAGCAGTTTGACTTGGTACTGCCATGTCATTCAAATGTAGGATGTTTTAAATGCCAGTTTGTTAAGGTAGTATCATACACAACAGAATTAATGCTTTTAAAACATAGCTAGATGAGTTTGGAAGGATATATACAGTCATGTAAACACCCCATAATCAAGATAGAGAAAATTTCCATCTCCCGAAAAAGTTCTCCTTTTTTTTTAATAGATGTCCTACCCATCTATTATCCGTCTCTATGGTTTCGCCTTTTCTAGAATGTCATATGGATTAAATTCATATTGTAGATAATCTTTAGTGACTAATCTTTTGTTAAACGTAATTCTTTTGAGATTTTTTTATTTTGTTCCATATAATTTATTTTTGTTACTATGTAATGTTCTGCTACCAGAAAGGGGTCCTGATCCAGACCCCAAGAGAGTATTTTTGGATCTCGTGTAACAAAGGATTTGGGGCAAGTCCACAGTGTAAAGTGAAAGCAAGTTTATTAAGAAAGTAAAGAAACAAAAGAATGGCTACTTCCTAGACAGAACAGTGGCATGGGCTGCTCCACTGAGTATACTTATGATTATTTCTTGATTGTATGCTAAATAAGGGGTGGATTATTCATGAGTTTTTCAGGAGAGGAGCAGGCAATTCCCAGAAGTGGAGGTTCCTCTCCCTTTTAGAGTATATAAGGTAATTTCCAGACATTGCCAGGGCATTTGTAAACTGTCATTGTCCTGGTGGGAATGTCTTTTAACATGCTAATGCATTAAAATTAACATATAAGGAGCAATGAAGAGGACCAGAGGCCACTTTTGTCACCATCTTGGATTTGGTGGGTTTTGGCCTTGTGCTTTACCATAACCTGTTTTCTCAGCAGGGTTTTTTATGACCTATATCTTGTGATACCACCACTGCTGGCCTCCTAGGAATACAGCTCAGCAGGTATCACCCTCATTTTACCCAGCCCCTACTCAAGATGGAGTCACTCTGGTTCAGATGCCTCTGACAGTTCTACTATATGAATATACCACAGTTTCTCCATTCACTAGTTGATGTATATTTTGGTTGTTTTCGGGTTAGGCCATTCCGAAGGAAGCTGTTATGAACATTGATTCATTGGACTTCCAGTGCACATATGTTTCCGTATTTTAGGTAAATACTTAGCGTCAGGTCTCCGTGCAAGCTCGGAGCCTGAAAGTCTGAAGTCCTGCCTGCCTCTGCTGAAGTATCCCAGCCACTGCTTGTGTTTGTCCTCAGTCATTGTCCTGGATCGCCCAGGGGAGCTTCCCCAGACAAGCCCCTCACCCAACCCTGCCATCTTAACTGTTCTTATGATAATGTAAATACCTCTCACCCAACCCCACCACTGTAACTGAACTTACTCTGCAACACCCCCACCCCCAAAACACTACCCAAACCTATAAAACCAACTCCTATCCCACTGCCATTTGCTAACACCCTTGTTGGCCTTAGCCCACCTGCACGCAGGTGAATAAACGGCCATGCTGCTCACACAAAGCCTGTTTGGAAGGTCTCTTCATTCAAAGCTCACGTTTTTTAAACATTGAGAAACGGAATTGCTGTGTCATATGCCAAGTATCTGTTTAATTCAGGGTTTCTCCATTCATATTTTGGTAAATACTTAGAAATTTAGGTGAATACTTAGAAATGGAATTGCTGTGTCTTATGTTAAGTATCTGTTTAATTCAGGGTTTTGTCATTCATATTTTGGGTTGGATAATTCTTCGTTGTGAGAAACCATTCTGTACATCATGGGATCTTTAGTACCGACTTTGGCCTCCGCCCACTAGATGTCAGGATGCTCCCCACTCCGTTTTGACCACCAAAAATGTCTTCAGACCTTGCTAAATGTCCCCTGGTAGCTAAAATTGCCCCCAGTTGAGAAATATTGGTTTATTGTAAAAAACTACCAAACTGTTTTTGAAATTACCAAAATGGCTTTGTCATTCTCACCCAATAGTTTATGAGTTCCAGTTTTAATGTGTCATATCTTAATTTTTATTCATTTAAGTATATTTTCTAATTTTCCTGTGATGACTTATTTGGCTCATGTGATACTTATAAGTATGTTGTTTAATTTCCCAATGTTTGGGAGATTTTTCAGATTTTTTTCTACTGTTGATTTCTGATTTATTTGCATTTTGGACATAGAACATTTTTTGTACAATTTCAATCCTTGGAATTTATTTTGTGTTCCAGAATATGTTCTGTGGTGAAATATTCATATGCACTTGAAAAGAATGTCAATTATATTGTTGTTGAGTGGAATGTCATGTGCATAATTTTATATGTGACAAAATTAGCCTGTGATATGTTGGGAATTTTAACAAAGTTCTTTGCTAATGACCAGTGCCTCTCAATCTATCTGTAGCTTATAGCCTGTGCTCCCATTGTCTTGATGTTTGCCTCGATGCCAAGTGATAACCACAGGTGCTGGTGTTTCACTTACAATGAAGCCTTTTCCCTCCTGGATTCTGTACATCTAATCGGGTGGCTCCATGAATGTTCAGGTACAATTAGGGCAAATGGGGATTTGTGAAACAATTGTAAGGTTTTTTTCTTTTCTTTTCTTTTTTTTTTTTTTTTTGAGATAGAGTCTTGCTTTGTGGCCCAGGCTAGAGTGCAGTTGCTCAATTTCAGTTCACTGCAACCTCCGCCTCCCAGGTTCAAGCAATTCTCTTGCCTCAACCTCCTTAGTAGCTAGGATTACTGGCATGCACCACCATGCCCAACTAATTTTTATATTTTTAGTGAAGACAGGGTTTCACTGTTAGTCAGGCTGGTCTCAAACTCCTGACCTCCCAAAGTTCTGGGATTACAGACGTGAGCCACCATGCCCAGCCAACTTTTTTATGTTTTAGGAAAACATTAAATGCAAGGTAGAAACAAGAACAAAATGTTTCCTGTGGCTCGTTGAGATGAGTCCTGCCTGTATCTCCGGAATCCACTCCTTAGCCTTCACGTGCTGCATCCTTTCCCTTTGCTATTAAAGAAACTCCTTCAGTCTGGAATTTCTTCAGTCCTGTCAGCTTTCCTTACATTTTGAATCTGGATTAGTTATTTTTGTTTGTTTACTTCTTTTTTTTTTGGTAACAGATTACTTTAAACTTAATGGCTTAAAATAGCACAAATATATTGTATCACAATATCCCTGCATGAGGAGTCTGGCTATGGATTGGTAGGGTCCGCTGCTTAGTGTCTTACCAGGTTGAAATCAAGGCAGAGTTGGAATCCGCCTTGTGTCTTACCAGTTGAAATCAAGGCTGTGTTCTCCTCTGAAGCTGCAGTCCTCTCATCGGCCCACTCTGGCTATTGGGAGAATTTGTTCTGTCTTAACTGTATAAGTGAAATTCCCATTTTCTCCCTGACTACGGGTACCTCTCTGAGCTCTTTGAGGATTTCTCAAGGGCTGAGCCACATAGCCTCTTCACAGCCAGGAGGGGGGGATCTCTCTCCAGTCCACCAGGATAGAGTGTTGTTAGATAAAGTAAACCAGTCAGAGTCTTAAATTCCCGGAATGTTCCTAGATCCCACCCACACTCAACTCAATGAGAGGAGTTTACACAAGGCATGTGCGTGCGGAATGGGAGTCTCAGAGGCCATCCCAGGCTACCCCCGGATCCTACTCATCTGTTAGTATCCAGGTGGAATTATGTTCCTTTCGTGAGCTCGTTTCATAAGCTTTCCAACAGTGTGAATTGCTCCCTTGCCTGCCTTCATTCTACAGTTTCTATCTTCTCTTTTACACTGCCTCAGTTTGCGAAGTATAAACCCTTATAGTTCATGGCATTGATGCAGTCTGAGCAGGACACTATACCTTTGGAGTAGGTGATGCTAGATGTGCCCTTCATCTTGGCTTCCTTGTATTCTCTGCAACGCTGAGGTAGCTCTTGCTAAGAGTAAGCATTATGGTGTTTTAATAAAGCTGAAGTTCCTAAAGGCCTGACATACAGTATATGCTTTCTGAATGTAAGTTCATCCTAAGCATGCTACGGCCAGTATGGCATGTTTTGAATGTATCTCATTATCTACATGTATCATTGTCCATGTGTTCTCATTGTTCAGCTCCCACTTATAAGTGAGAACATGTGGTGTTTATCTACACTTAGGAACAGGGATTGTCTTTTCTTTCCCCTCTGTAACCTGTATACAGTGGGCTAAAATGTTTGAATCAGGGCAAACAAAGATGACAGAAAAATCATGACTCAGTTCAGGAACCACTGCTTAAGAAAGCCTAGAATTTAATTGGAAATGAAAGAGAGTACTTCAGACAGTGTGACTTCAGATGGCAGGAATATGGAGATGGAAAAACATGGAAGATTGGGCACCCTCTCGGATGTCTTTGTAGCGGCTGCCCAGTACCTGGCCCACTGTAATGATCAGTTATCAGTTATTAGTGTTACTGATAACTGTCAGGGAGTTGTGTGTGCCTATCTAGTCTTAAGGCTTTTTAAAAACAACTGGTTTTTTGTTTTGTTTTTTTTTTCCCCCAATAGCTGGTGCTCAAGACCGAATTGGCTGGGCTTTTGGCCTAGGATTAGAAAGGCTAGCCATGATTCTCTATGACATCCCTGATATCCGTCTCTTCTGGAGTGAGGACGAGCGTTTCCTGAAGCAGTTTCATGTAGCTAACATTAATCAGAAGGTGAAGTTTCAGGTAAGATGGCTTGCAAGAACTGAATAAATAATAATAATAATGGCTGTCAAGGATTGACAAGATCATGTACTTGAAAGCCATTGAATTTTATTTTATTTATTTTTTATTTTGCTTTAAGTTCTGGGATACATGTGCAGAATGTGCAGGTTTGTTACATAAATATACATGCTCGTGGTGGTTTGCTCCACTGATCAACCCGTCATCTAGGTTTTAAGTCCCACATGCACCATGCATTAGGTATTGTTCAAATGCTCTCCCTCCCCTTGTCCCGCACCCCCCGATAGGCTCCAGTATGTGATGTTCCCCTCCCTGTGTCCATGTGTTCTCATTGTGCAGCTCCCACTTATAAGTGAGAACATGTGGTGTTTAGTTTTCTGTTTCTGTGTTAGTTTGGATGTTTGGTTTTCTGTTATCTGTGTTAGTTTGCTGAGAATGATGGTTTCCAGCTTCATCTATGTCCCTGCAAAGGATATGAACTCAATCTTTTTTATGGCTGCATGAATTTTAAACAATGTGAATTTGTAAAGAAATTCCTGGCCAGGCACGGCGGCTCACGTTTGTAATCCCAGCACTTTGGGAGGCCGAGGCAAGTGGATCACCTGAGGTCAAGAATTTGAGACCAGCCTGGCCAACATAGTGAAACCCTATCTCTACTAAAAATAGAAAAATTGGCTTGGCGTGGTGGTGTGTGCCTGTAGTTCCAGCTGCTTGGGAGGCTGAGGTAGGAGAATCACTTGAACCCAGGACGTGGCGGTTGCAGTGAGCCGAGATTGTGCCATTGGACTCCAGCCTGGGCAAAAAGTGAGAAACTCTGTCTCAAAAAAAAAGAAGTTCCTAAAAAGAGGCCCATAAACCCACAAGGGGTTCATAAACCTTTAGAAATTTTATGCAAGAGAAAAGATATTTGTCAATCTTATTAGTCTAGGCAGAGAACCAATTTTGTACTTTTTTAATGAACATTTTATCATTATGAAATATCCAACTTTATCACTGATCTTTGTCTCTTAAAGTTTACTTTTTATAATATTAATATAGACACTGGATTTCTTATGATTGATGTTTGCGATGCAGATCAGTTTACTTTCATTCTGTATCTTCATCTTAATTGTACATCTCTTATAAACAGCATAAAGTTGGGTCTGTTTTTTAAGACCCAGACCTAGTCTTCGTCTTCTCAATTGGAGTGTTGAATACACTTACATTTGATATATTAAATAATAACTTATATTCCTGGGCCTAATTCTATCATTTTTAAACTTCTTTCCCATTTTCCTCATCAGTTTTTTATTTATTTTACTTGAAAATTGAAGTTTGTTTTCATTTTGTGTGCATGTTACATTTTATTTCTTCCATTTGTACTTAGTTTTCATCATTTTACGTGATTTTAAATGGTTACATTATAATATGCATAATTCATTCTTCATGTTTTATCATGAAGAAATATTATACAACTTTGTGAAACATTTTGCCACTTTATAATAGTGTAATTTTATTATCCCTCCTGTCTAGGTTGTCAAGTTATTTTTTTTTTTCTTTTTTGTCCTTGGACTTTAAAGAGGTCACATTATTGCCTTTATCTCTGGTTTTCAGCAATTTGACCTATGTTTGATTTTCTGTCTGTTTTTCTGCTTCAGGATTTACTGTGTTAGGTTAATATCTTTCAAGCATTTTGGACAATTCTCATCTAGTACCTTTTCCAGCAATTCTACTCCATTCATTTTTCAGAGTATAGCTGCATATATGTTAGACCATTTGTTCCTGTGCCATAGAACTCTGATGAAAGGTGTTTTAATTAATGATGTTTTTTCCTGTGTGCTTTATTTTTGATATTTTTTATTGCCTTCTCTTTGGGTTGCTAATCTTTTCTTTTTTCTTTTTTTTTTTTTTTTTTTTTTTTTTTTNGTTCTAACCGTTAAGCCGATCCAGTGGATTAACCATTCCCCAGATACTGTATTTATCAATTCTAGAATTTGCATTTGCTTCCTTTTTAGAGTTTTCATTTATCTACTGAAATTCTTGATCTTTTCATCCATTTCATCCATTCTTCCTTAAATTCTTTCACATATTCGTACTAGTTATTTTATTTTATTTATTTATTTTTGAAATGGAGTCTTGCTCTATTGCCCAGGCTGGAGCGGAATGCAATGGCTCGATCTCAGCTCACTGCAACCTCCGCCTGCTGGGTTCAACTGATTCTCCCACCTCAGACTCCTGAGTAGCTGGGATTACAGGCATGTGCCACCACGCCTGGCTAATTTTTGTATTTTTAGTAGAGACGGCGTTTCGCCATGTTGGCCAGGCTGGTGTTGAGCTCCTAACCTCAGGTGATCCTCCTGTCTCAGCCTCCCAAAGTTCTGGGATTACAGGCATGAGCCACCATGCTCGACCTTATAATGGTTATATTTAAGTAGTTGTCTGTTAATTCCAACCATTTAGTTATCTAGTGTTCTTTTGTTGCTTTTTCTTCCTAATCATGGCTTACATTTTTCCTGCTTCTTCACTTGTCTTACTTTTTTTTTTAATTGTGTTTGAATGGACACCAAGACTGAGGTAGATAAAATTTATCCCTAGAAAGCCTTATGCTTTCTGCTATCTGGCTGCTAAGGTGACTAGGCAAGATCTTTTTGTTCTATCAGGATTTGAGTTGGATTTCACATCTGATTTCCTGTTCATGGTGAGATCTAGCCCTGCAGCAGAGTTTGGGATCTAACCATGTGAGATCACAGGATCTTTCTGCTTTTCATCCACTTACCAGCCTCTTCCACCACCAGCCTTTGTAAGCAGAAATATTATGAAGGAGAATTGGCTGGCAGTGAGGGTTAGCTCTGTTTCTCCATTTTCCAATCTGCCATGCCAGCCCATGCTTGGCTGATAAAAGTTGGCTTGTTTCTTCTTATTCCAGAAAAATGTCTTTGCTAGTAGCAGGCTAGCTCTTCCGCCTACTCATGCCCCAGTGGTAAAAGCTGCCATCAATGTCTGTCTACCCTAGAAGGGCTCATCTGTCTCTGGAGTTACATTTATTTGTATTTGTGTCCAGACCTCTTCAACTGTATTAGTCTGGTTTCATGCTGCTGATAAAGACATACCTGAAACTGGGAAGAAAAAGATGTTTAATTATACTTACAGTTCCACATGGCTGGGGAGGCCTCAGAATCATGGCAGGGTATGAAAGGCACTTCTTACATGGCGGTGGCAAGAGAAAATGAGGAAGAAGCACAAGCAGAAACCCCTGATAAACTCATCAGATCCTGTGAGACTTACTCACTATCACAAGAAAGCATGGCAAAGAGGCAAAGACTGGCCCCCGTGATTCAATTTCCTCCCCCTGGGTTGCTCCCACAACATGTGGGAATTCTGAGAGGTACAATTGAAGTCTAGATGTGTATATCATCAACTTTAAGGACAGGTATGGTTTTTGAAAATGTATTTTTTTTTTATTGATATAGTGAAACACACTGATTTTGCATATGTGCCCATCTGCATCGGAAACCTTCCCATGTATGTATGTATATGTGTGTATATTTTTGATTTTTACCTTAGGACTTTTAAAAACTTATACTTAAATAATTATCTGTTTTATTGTAGCATTGATTTCTTCTAGACTAATTTGAAATAAAGCTGTCTCTAAATCAAAATAAAATCTGGCTAAGGCTTTACCTTTTTCTCATTCACTTTTTAAATATATTGTCATTTATTTAATCAGCAAACATTTATAGAACACCAACATTGTTCAGAATGATGTGCTCAACACTGTGGTATGGCAAATAAAAATGAAAAACACTGTTGCCACCATAATTAAGTAGCTTCAATTCAATTTTAAGTGTACCTACAACCGTCTTTTTTATGAGACACAGACGTAGTCAGAAGTAGACACTTGATCTCTTGTACTGTCATTTTTCCCCTTTTCTGCCTCCAGGTTTGAAAGCCAGTCTATGATACCTGCACTAATATCTAACTTGTATAGTTGCCTTTGTGTAACAAACTGAAGGACTTCTAATGGGGAAGTTAGGATTTGTATATTCATATTTAATATGTAAAATACATTGTGAATTATAGATTACAGACCATACTATTACCTAAGTATTCACTAATAATTAGTATCTATTCTTGTCAGTTTCCTGTTGCTTAGATAACCAATTACCACAAATCTAGTCGCTTGAAAAAATGTATTTATGATTTTTACAGTTCTAGAGGTGAGAAAACCAAAATCCACCCGACTGGGCTAAAGTTAAGGTGTCAGCAGGACTGGCTCCTTCTGTAGGCTCCAGGGAGAATCCACTTTCTTGCCTTTTCTGGCTTCTAAAGGCCATCCTCAGACTTTGCATCGTAGCAGTGTATTACATTGCCTTTCTCTGTCCTTCCATCTTTTGTCACATTGCCTTCTTTTTGAACTTTGCTTCTTTCTTATAAGGACCCGTATGATTATATCAAGCCTTGCTGGGTAATTCCAGATAATCTTTCCATCTCAAAATACTTCTTTTAAAGTAATCCTTTAATGCTTTAATACGAATTAATTCTCTAATACAAAAGGAAAAGTACAATTCCTTTTGAATATAAGGTAATATATTTATAGGTTATAGGGATAAGGATATGGATATCTTTGGGTGGAGTTGGGGGCATTTTTAAGTCTACCGCAGTCTTCCGTTTAACCCCCAAAGATTCACATCTGTCTTGTGTAAATGCATTCAGCCTATCCCAAGGTCCTGCAAAGTCTAAACCCATTGCAAGATAAACTCAAAATCGAAAATGTCATCTAAATATCTTCAGCCCTTAAGTTTCATTTCATCATTTAATTGTCTAAAGCTGGTTTATGTGACACTCTGGGTATGATTAATCCTGGGGCAAAATTCCTTTCCACCTTTGCACCTGAAACAGGGTACCTACTCCCAAAGCACAATAAGTAGGATAGGCATTGGAGAATAGTCGTAGACATTTCCATTCAAAACGGGAGAAAATGAAAGAAAAAAAATAAATAACTGGTTCCAAGCAATTTCAAAATT